TTTTTTTTTTTTTTTTGGGGGGGGGGTTCAGCCTTTTTCAGAACTAAAATCAGAGTTTTTTTCAGATCGCTGTGAGCAAACAGAGTATGAGAGCATCAACGAGGTGAGTTTGAGGAACCTTTTTGAACCTTTTTGTTAAAAAACTGAAAGCAAACACAAACTCATTCCTCTTTTTCTGCATCAGGATGAGAGGGGGAATCAACAGACAACTCCTCCAGTGCAGATCTCCACTATTTACAGCTGCGCCTCCTTCACCAACCTGCAAGGAGCTGATGACTACAGCCTCCTCTCAGCCCACAACGCTCAGCCAGAAGTAAGAAAACTGAGAACAACCAGCTCTGGTTGGAGTTCCGCCAGTTACTCATCTCCACCAAAGGCATGATGCTCCAGCTGTGGGCTGGAAGCAAGATGCTGTTAGGCCTCTGACAAGGTTCACATCTGTTCAGTGTGTGTTGAGTCAGTGGGTCTGCATGCACATCTGTTCAGTGTGTGTGGAAGTCAGTGGGTTTGCTTGCACATCTGTTCAGTGTATGTGGAAGTCAGTGGGTCTCATTCACATCTGTTCACAGTGTGGAAGTCAGTGGGTCTGCATGCACATCTGTTCAGTGTGTGTGGAAGCCAGTGGGTCTGCATGCACATCTGAGGGTGAACGCACACCATCCTGACTGCCACCCAGACATCACAGAGGAGTTTTTCCTAAGCGATCTGAGACTAAGAGCTCTGAGACGCTCATTTTTCCCCATTTTGTTCATCGGTCAAGGAAAAGCTTTGATTTTAAGACTGATCTAAGATCTGCTCTAAACCGGGCCGATTGTATCTATAAAAACTGTGCTCTCTCCTCCGCAGGCTGCAGCCGGCACACCTAAGCCCATCTACGCAGCAGTGGATTTGTCCAGCAGGGGCCCCCACCCCGCGGTCAGAGTTCCCAGCGGGGACCCAGACGTGGTGTACTCTGTTCCCCGGCTGCGCGGGAGCTCAGCGCCGCGGCGAGCCTCCGATGAGTGTCTGTACTCCAACGTGAGGTAGCCGCTGGCTGCTCAATGCAGCTTCTCACTCTGTTTTAATGAGCTGTTCATTAAAAGCTGAGTCTTTTTTTTTGTTGGCTCTAGTGGCCTTTAATGACAGTAGCTTGACAGGAAAGGGGGCAGAGATAGAGAGGGGGAGACCTGCGGGAAAGGGCCATGGGCTGGATTCGAACCCAGGCCGCCCGCTTGCGAGCAGAGGCTCTGCATATGGGCCGCCCGCTCTAACCATTAGGCTACGGCTGCGGCCCCTGAGTCTTTAACTTATTCTGTGATCTTATTCTGTGTCATTGTTTACCCTCTGCAGCCGGTTCCTCTCAACCCTCCCTGTTTAGGGGTCACTTTGGACCCATTTGTACTTCCTGCCTTTCAGCCTATTAAAGTGTATTTTTTTACTCCTTCTGCTTCTTTTCTTCTTTTCAAACAGTGGCCGACAGTATATGGCCTGTGAAACTGAAAGAAGCACAGAGCTCATTTCGGGGCCATGATTTCGCTAAAACAGATGATTTCGTCATTATTGTACATGGTGAGCAAACATGCAGACTAACGTCTGAGCAGCTGAATGCAGACACACAACAGCCAGCGAAGAACTTCAACTCTGACCTAAATCTACCATTTTCACGTTCAGAAGTTAAGCAGAAGCTTATTTTAATGGGACCTTTAATGCAGAGTGAACGCGCCCTCTAAGAACCCTAACCCTCCACCGGTACTCCTCCGGTTCCTTGGTGAAGTTGGTCCAGTTTGAGTTGAGAGGCCTCATAATGGCATCAAAAGATGCAGAGTGACCTTTGTGGGCTGATGATTGCACAGGGGCCTCCAGCTGCCCCTGGGAGATGAACCTGGCGCCAACACATCAGACCACCTCGACTCTCTGACCCCTGCCAGCATCGCTCTGTTCAGGACCTCCACAAGACACAGCATACAGGCTCTTCTTTGATGTTTTCGAGAAGTTCCACAGTTCAGGTGTTCAAAAAGACAGCAGGAGCCCGTCTGCTTCCTCCTGCTCCTCCACTGCCTTATCAATGGATAACTCTGTTTGTGTGGACATGCAGATCTTTTGTGTCCAACATCTCATCACATGTATAGCCCATCCCCGTGTTTCACCCTGAAGGACAACACCAGTGTCTGTGTGGGGGACTCCAGGAACATGAATACCTGCCGCCTCAAAGACTGGACATGCTTCAGTTTATCATCTTTACATCCCAAATTGATTGATCGGAAGCCGCTTGCCCAAAAAAGCATCAAAAAAGACTGCAGGAATCTGCACAAGTTTAGTTTGAGTTAACTTTATAGATACAACAGCCAAAATAACAAGATGACAAAGTGTTCACTAGGATACAGACAGACTAACAAACAGCTGAACTAGGCGGGTGTGACAGGAAATGACTGAAATGTGCTTCCTCTTTTGGCCTTTTTGCTGCTCCCCTCTGTTCTACAGGTGTAAACTATTCCTCTGTTTAATGTCTCCAAAGTGAGGAAATAAACTCAGTTTAAGCATGTCTGGCCATCTTTAAAGAGTTTCTGTGATGATTTCACTTTTTCTGGTGAGTCTGAATCCAACAAAACAAGCAAACTCCTCTTTCAGATCAAAGAAAACATCATATATTCAGATTTCATATGAAAGTGTGAAACTAATCATTCAGAAGTAATCTGACATTGTTAAGCCTGACTTTGGCTACCACTTAAACTTAATGATCATCACCCATCAAAGCTCTTGTTCCACCAGACCAAGCCAGAAAGAACCTGAAGGCCTTTAGAAAATGAATAGAAGCCACAGCTTTTGCATCTCATGCTGCCAACAGATGTTCCTGCTGTACCTCCCAAATTTAGATCTTTTGAAAGTTTCGGTTGCTATAAAGGCAAAAACCAAAGTTATTTACACGAAACTTTAAAAGAGATGCAGCAAAAGAGGCTCACAGGTAAAGACAGCTGAAAAGCAAATGCTCCTGAACATAAATGCTAACAAATGCACAAAATGCCATGACTGAAGGCCAGAGAGAAACCTGAGCCTATACGCAGGGACAGTTTCAGCTGCTCCTCACAGTCTAGACCTGATTGGACCATCTGATCGCTATGACATATTCAGCATGATGGGGAAGTTTAAATGTTCCAAGGGGAGGAGAATTTAGGGATGTCCCGATCCAGCTTTTTGAACTTCCGATCCGATACCGATATTCTATTTGCACTTCTGATCCGATACCGGCTGATACGGGCCTATCAGAGCGTGTATTAAATTTTAAAGTTATTTAGCCTACTTACTTAGTTGTCAGACTCATGTTGAACTGGGATTTACTAATAGCGATTTAGTGGTTAGAAAACAGACCTGTAGGTAAGGAGATGCTCATGCTCGTGTGGGATTGAGTTTTTTTTTTTTTTAATGGATAGAGAGTCTGGATCGGCATTTTGTCATGCCGGCCGATACGCATTTTTCAGCAAATATTGGCAGGCAATCCGATCCAAATATCGGATCAGGACAAGCCTGGAGGAGATCACTTGCAATCTATCCATCCATCCATTATCAATACCGCTTATTCCCTGATGGGGTCGCGGGGGGAACTGGAGCCTATCCCAGTGGTGGGGCGAGAGGCAGGGCACACCCTGGACAGTCCGCCAGTCCATCGCAGGGCCACACACAGGACATACAAGGACAAACAACCACTCACACTCACATTCACTCCTAAGGGCAATTTCCCCAATTTCCAATCAACCTAACATGCAGGTTTTTGGACTGTGGGAGGAAGCCGGAGAGAACCCAAGCAGACACAGGGAGAACATGCAAACTCCACCCAGAAAGGTCCTGGTTCCCCCGGGGTTCGAACCCAGAACCCTCTTGCTGGGAGGCGACAGTGCTAACCACCACACCACCGTGCTGCCCACTTCCAATCTATTCAGAGCAATTCAACCACAAGCAGAAATATTCAGACAACAGCAGAAAAATCATTAATCAGAGGCATTTAGATCAGAGCAATTAGATCAAAAGATGACCATCAAAGCTGAATCCCAAATCTTTTTTTTCTTTAGTTTCAGTATGATCAGCGTTAGCATGGTTACCATTACTTAAGGGTGGACTGCTCATAACTTGGTTTTTGTGAATAGGAAACTGATAATCCACAGCAAAACAAAGGGAGATGTAAAGTACAATTAAACTCTAAACGCTTACAGCACCTGGTATTCCCAGGCGGTCTCCCATCCAAGTAATAACCAGGTTCAAACCTGCTTAACTTCCGAGATCGGGCGCACACAGGCTGGTGTGGCCGTAAGCTGCAGTTTGCCTGGGAAACAGGTTATTCAAATCCGAGTCAACACCGCCAAAATGGGCTCCAAATGGCGGTGGGCTGCTGGCTGCTGGCTCCAAAATAAAATGAAGGGACCCTAAGCAGTGGACTGCTCATATTTTGGCTTTTTGATTTTCTGTTTATTGCTGCTCGGAGATGGTCCAATGGAGAAAACTCATAGCCTCTTTTGCATTTGTGCTGGGAGACACATAGACAGTAGTGATGCTGACAACAGTAAACTTTCTTGGCAGGTAGAAAGGTCTGCAGTCAACAGTCAAAAGTTCGATGTCCGGAGAGCAGTGGTTGGCGACTGATCAAGCATTTGCACACCAGTTGATGATGTAAACACACAGCCCCCCCCTCGGGTCTTGCCGCTAAGAGAGCTGTTTCTATCTGCACGGAAAGTAGCGAGCCCCTCAAGTCTAAAGGCGTTGTCCGGAATTGATTAAGTAAGCCATGTCTCTGTCAGGATGAGAGCACAACAGTTTTCAAGTTCCCTCTTTGAAAGAGCTAAAGTTGTAAATGGTCTATGTAGTTGTCCAGTGAGTGGATGTTGAAGAGCAGGATGGATGAAAGTGGCGTTATGTAGGGGTTAGCTTTTAGTTTAGTTGTTAATCCAATGTGACAGCCCTGCTTCCACTGCCGGTCACACCACTTGCTCCTCCTCCGGTGTGTGGTACTCCACGAGTCATGGGCCCCTGGGACTTGTGCCCAAAGTAGTCCGAAGCAGCGTAATCAAGAGTAGTTGTAGTTACAGGTCCAAAAACACTACATAACCGTAACTCCAGCAGCCGTTGGTGGTCAACTACTGATGTAGCGGGTCGATGAGTAGTTTGTAGAATGTTTTGAGCCATATTTTTGTAAAAAATAACACAAACAATATGATAAAAAAATCTATATATTAATGATAAAAATAATTAATATTGTAACATTGCTGCCACATCATGAACATTTTGTGTGGGGAAGGCTCCCAGCTAACTCACCTGTCTCAGCAGGTAGTGCCATTCTCATTGACACTCCGAGTTTCCACACACACAGGAAGAACGTCATGGTAGGGAGGGCTGTGGCTACAATGTCAGAGGACAGATGGGTGCCAGTCAAAATCATCAATCCAAGTGACAACTTAGCAGATAGATACAAGCAGATTGAGGCAAAACACCAGGTAGGCTGATGTGTTCCCATGCGTTGCTCTGGAAGACTTGGAGGTGAATGTTTCCCAGTCCCCCTCAAAAGATCTTCAGGTTAATAGTCAGACCATGCACGGCCCTGACTCACCCGAATCTACCCCCAACTTCAGTGCTGTCCTGACTTGACTTGGATTGAGTGATTTGGACATACATTCCTGTAATGTTTCGAATTATTGGAAAAGTCAGTTGTTCAACCTGATCCAAAAGTATGAGGGTCTGTTTCCCAGAAACAAGTTGGACTGCGGCGAGGCCACTGGCTTTGTCCATCGGATCAATCTGACAGATTCTCGGCCGTTCAGACTCCCATATCACCGTGTCCCCCCTGGTCATAACCAAAAGCTGAGACAGGTGCTGTCGGAGATGGAAGAGAAAGAAATCATCCGGAAGTCTTCCAGCAAGTGGGCGTCACCCCTGGTACTCCTGGCTGAATTGGTGGGAGCCCATTCTTCAGCACCATGGACTTAACATCAGGGTACTATAATATCTCCATGTGTGAGATAGACAAAAAACTGACTGCCTTTACCATGCCCATTGGGCTGCAT